ATTTTAACATTTGATAAAATATTATATCTTTAAGAGAAAAATAATGAGTATACAATTATTTTTTTGAGAAAACTAAAATTATATTTTCTAAAAGGGTATTTTTATTTTTAAAAATAGAATTTCTATAAAATATTTATAAATATATCTTTTTCATTTCATTTTACATTTTAAAACTGGTTTAATAGCCTCCTTTATTAAATACTTCTACTTTAGGAAGGTAGCTTGTCAAATTTAAACTTCCAGTTCATAGTTTGTCAATTTTTTAGTTGTTCAACTTTTAATTAATTTATCAACTGGTTTTTCAAACGCTAAATGTGAAGTTGTACATTTTATCTCTCTCTCGCTCTCTCTGTTTCACTTATCTAGCTTTGCGGTCCCATATGCCTATCAATAATGTAAGTCTCTGTCCTTATAATGAGATTAACATCGAAATAGACTTTTGAACAAGGTCAAATCGAACTTAAAAAAAAGGCCTAAACTTTATGCCTTACATTTCCGAAACAATTTATGAATATTTTCATTGAAAATGTATCAAGAATTTCTATTTATTATGAGGAATGAGATGTATAAATAATTTATAATCATATATGAATTATTAAACATAAAGGATAAACAAATACATAAATATCCAAATTTTTAATTTTTGATAATTTCTACGTGATTTTATTTTTTACTAGATTATATCGTATTTATAGTAATCTAATCAAGTTGTTTTTTGTGTATTCCGTGTATTGACTTTTAACAACATCCAAGCTTGGATTTTTTTTGATACCATAGTCGTATTTATAGATTTGTATTATATAATTGTATTTTATACTAAATTATAACTTCTATTATCTTGTATTTAGTTCTTAATTCTTAATACGATTTTATCAACGCTTTCCTTAACTCAATAAGGGTTACAAATGTTTTAGCCATAGATAGTAAAATTGTTTGAAATATTTAATATGTAATTTGCATCGAAGGGATCTTGTAGACCACTTCTAGACTAATTGAGCTATAAAAACTTGAAATTTCAAGGTGTCTTGGAGGTATTTTCTATGTATATAATTGACCTCCACCACACAAACAAGTTGTTTTAGTTTTTAAGTTTATTTCTCCTTGTGATACCGCAACCACCGAAACTCGAAACTTCCTTGAAATTTCCATAGCAAAAGCATAAATGCGAACGTAGCTGACAAAGACATTTATACTAATAATAGATTTGATACATATCAACAGCAATTAGACAATGAAACAAATAGTGAGAAATAAAATTAGGAAGACAGTTGGTATGTGTTGTCTACAAACCTTTGAAAGTAGCACTCGTGTCCTGTATCAGTGTGATGGTATGTTTGGTTTAATGACAAGAGTAAAAGAAGAAAAAAAAGTGAAAAATGATATAATTTTGTATATTATTTGCTAACAAAAAAAATTGAAAGGAAATATTTGTTTTTTTGGTTTGATTATGTAATGAATTAAAAAAGTATATAATTATTTAGTTTTGCTTTGTAATATCTATAATTATAATTATATAAATTTTCTATAAAAAAAATCTTACACAAGGCAGGATTCAAACCCCTGACTTGCTTAAGCGTGGATCAACTCCTACCGTTGAACCACACACTTGGGGTTATTAGGAAATTAACATGAATCATTTTAATTAAAAAAATTTAAAGTAGAGAAACAAAAAATGGCCTCATAAAATGCCTTCGAACAGTTGAACTGCACGAGAAAGTAACTACCCTTGACTTGTCCTTTGTTGTTGATTTGAAAATGACTTCAAACGCGGCTTTTACGCGTCCAGTTGAATGTTGGATCTGATCAAACTTCAAAAGACACAGCAGCATTTGGAATGGAAGCAGCCGTTGAATTGGCTTGTAAATTGGTGCCGAAAGTTCTGTTGCCGTATTGATGTCAACAATAGCGGATGTTGGAGGAAAGTAAATATTTACTGTAAAAGGGTTTCACACTACAGGAAAACGAGGGTTTAACCGGAATCCTAATCCTTGCCATTGATCAACAGTTAGCGAAGAATTTAATTAATCATTTCTTTATCTTAATAATTTATGGTAACAATCAACCCTACACAAATATCAAGCGATCAAAGTAAAATAGATAAAACATAAAAAGTCTAATAAAGAAAATTTTGTTTAATTTGATCAAATCACAGACCGATCGATAATGAAAATTGCATAGTCCCAGAAAATGACGCCAAAAACTTAATGTGATAAATGTTTTTTTTTTGTAAGATTATGTTTTTTTGTTACCAAATTTTATTGAGTCAATAAGATAAAAAAGAAAAAAGAAAAACTTCATTTGATTGTAAAAGATTAACGAAGGTTAAGATAAAAAGATAACCTCTAGGTTAACATTGAAGAATATATATAGAAAGAAGTTTTTGGGATTGAGATTCACTCAATGATGATTAATGGATTAACTTTTATTGTTTGCTTTGGTTGATTTCAATTTTGAATGTGTCCTGTACAAGTCTCCTATGGACTAATCATTTGAATACTGATCACCTCTAGGCCGATCACCTCTAAGTCAACCACCACCAAAACTGATCAATTTTGGACTAACCTCTCCAAGTCGAACCAACCTCCCTAGATGATCATTCCAAGCCCAACCACTTTTGGACCATTCTCTCCAAACCAATCACATCCAAGCCAAACATTGCAAGCCGATCATCTTCAGATTGACCACTTTCGTGCTAATGTCCTCAAGCTGATCACCTTTAGGCCAACTGACCCATCTTGGTGGGAGTCTGATTGACTGCTTCCCAAGTTAAGGAAGAGTAATTTAAAATGCCATGATTTTAGAGATTGTGCGTGTTTGCGAAAAGTGCTCAATATCAATCATAAATATCGATATTTGTAGGACTATTAATGGTAATAAGTATACAATATCATTTATGGGATCATAACACTAAAAAAGTGACTTGTGCTGGAGATACAACTATGGCATATATAGGAGCTTCTAGACCTTAGATAGGATAGTTGACATTTAATAAATGTTTTGGGTTTGGATAGTAGTTAGAGTTCTCTGGTGGTTGTCTTCCATACCGAAACAAAATGTGAATTAACCAATGGTAATCTTTGTTGCCTCTTGAGAATAAAAATGTATCTAATTGAATTGACCCTACCTTCGTGGTAGTTACATTCGATAAAAACCCATTACGCTTTTTCTTAATTCATTGTTTTCTTGAATAATTAAACTTACATTTGTAGTTTAAAACCTAAGTCTTTTCCTCATGGTTCAAACGAATAGGCTTAACTCTTAGTTATTCCCCAAGTGTATAAGATTATATAAAAGGCAGTCAAATGCTTTGCATAATTAAGTTTAATATGAAAAGAATAAAAAGAGGAAAACAAATTTCGTATTTAGAAGTAAAGATCACAAATCCATTTAAAACATCAAAGGGTTATTCCCAATTTTAAAAGCAAAAGAAAGAACTCAATCATAATCAAAGAAAAACTACTCAGATGAATCAAGATAATTCAAACTAGTAAGTAGATAAAACAACAATCTTTTGTATATGTGGCATCCAACTAATAGTAGAAGTTCGAACAATGCAAATGTTACAAATGGTATTTCTCTGATGATTGACTTTACCTACTTTGATGATCGACATCACCTACAGTGTTTGCATCCATGTAGCCTTGGAATTTTAATTCTCCTTTACCAAACCACAAAATACTTCTTTGTTGTGCTTTGTATCAAAATCCACTTGCCTGTTTCCCAATGAGATTTACTTAGATGAGAAATGCTAACAACGCATTCTTTTAAACATATTCTCTCTAATCGGTTGAAATTTATTGAAAAACACAAAATTTAGTGGGTCTTACACGTTATTTATTAATTCTCTCTTGATTTTTGTAGTTTTCAATAAATTATGATCGATGAGAGTAAGTGTGTTAGAGAATGGCTAATAATCCTCTACCTAGATTTGATATATATTTGTTAACATTTCCCATTGCATGGACAATATCTGGCCTCGTACAAACTATCATGTGCATCAAATTTTCAACGGCTAAAGCCTACGAAGCCTTAGCCATGAATTTTATTTCTTCCTTGGGTTGAGGGGATTGGTCCTTGGATAGGTAAAAATGATTGTCTGTAAGTGTGTTGACTAGCTTGTTAACACTATGTTAAATCTTTTCAAAACACAGTTGATGTAGTCTACCTAAAATCATTGCAAAATGTCTCTTTGCATTCCAAGGATCTTCTTTGCTGGAATCAAGCCCTTTATTTCAAATTCTTTTTGATAATTGCTACTTCAAGCTTCTAATTGTGTCCATATATAAACAAGATACTAGCATATCATCAAGTTTCTAATTGTGTCCATATCTAAACAAGATACTTGCATATCATCGATTTAAAGTAGCAAAATGGTATAACTGAACATAAAGAAGCAATAAAGATCTACATTGCATTTCTAGAATCCTTCTTGTGCATGAAGCCATCAAACGTCTTGTATTAGTGTCTTGGAACTTGTTTTAGACCATACAAATTCTTCTTCAATTTGCATCCCATACTTTCCTTCCTTTCTCTAAGAAAACTTCAGGTTGGTGCATGTATATCTCCTAATTTGAAGAAATGCAGTTTTCACATCCAATTGCTCAAGATAGAGTTTTTTTATTGAATATGAAAACAATACTTACCATAGTCCTGTTGGTATTGAGCTTCAAATCTGAAGCAAAAAATTTAGTGTAACGACCCTTCCTTTTGCTAGAATCCTTTGACAACCAATTGAGTTCTGTATCTCTTGAAGCCACCATGTTCTACCTTTATTTGAAACACCCATTTGTTGTGAAGTGCCTTCTTTCCCATGAGTAACTCAGCTAGTTCTCATGTTTAGTTGGAGTATTTCTTCTTTCATGGCAAGCTCCCACTAATATATTTTGTTCTTAAATTTTAACTGAGGTTTCTAGAAAGAATTCTCCTTAACAGTTTAAAAGTTTCATTATAGCATTGGTTTCATGTGACTAGATACGGGACAATTTTTTCTTATAAATGAGGATATTGCTACCTTTCATTGTGCATATTGTCAATTTGTCGTTTCCAGTTTTACTATACTACCTTCGGCTTATTCTGTCAGGAAAAAATTCGAATTGCTCTCTATGTTCAAAAGGCAGCATTACAATTTATTGATGGTATGGTGCTCCGATTTCAAACAAAGTTCTTATCATTTCTTTATAACCAAACACTTTCTCTTCTTTTATTTTCTAAGCTAATCTGGTTTTATTTTGCAGCTGGTAATCGAGTTGAATACAAAGTATCAAGTGAGGCAAGAGATGCTGGTTTTGGTATTCATCCAGATGAGATTGCTGCTATTGTTCGCGGCCATGATAATAAGACGTTAGATGATTTTGGTGGAGTTGAAGCCATTGTAAGGAAACTGTCAGTTTCTGTGGATGGAGGTGTCAGCGAAGAGAGCATAAATATCAGACAACAGATTTATGGATTCAATCGTTATACCGAAAAACCTTCTAGATCGTTCCTGATGTTTGTGTGGGATGCACTTCAGGACTTAACTCTGATCATTCTCATGGTTTGTTCTGTGGTTTCTATAGGTATAGGGATTGCCACTGAAGGATGGCCAAAGGGAACGTATGATGGTGTGGGAATCATACTCAGTGTATTCTTGGTAGTCATAGTTACAGCTGTCAGTGATTATAAGCAATCCCTGCAGTTCAGGGATTTGGACAAAGAGAAGAAAAAAATATTTGTTCAGGTCACTAGGGATGGGAAAAGACAGAAGATCTCAATTTATGATATAGTAGTTGGTGATGTTGTTCATTTGTCAACTGGGGATCAAGTTCCAGCTGATGGGCTTTTTTTATCAGGGTACTTTCTGCTTATTGATGAATCAAGTTTGTCAGGTGAGAGCGAACCTGTAAATGTAGATGAAGAAAAACCTTTTCTTCTTTCAGGAACCAAAGTGCAGGATGGTCAGGGGAAGATGTTAGTTACAACTGTTGGCATGAGGACTGAATGGGGAAAATTGATGGAGACTCTAAACGAGGGAGGAGAGGATGAGACTCCATTGCAGGTTAAATTAAATGGAGTTGCTACTATTATTGGTAAAATTGGTTTGACATTTGCCATTCTGACATTTGTGGTGTTGACAATAAGGTTTCTGGTTGAAAAAGCACTTCGTGGTGAGTTTGCCAGTTGGTCTTCGGATGATGCAATGAAGCTACTGGACTTCTTTGCTATTGCTGTAACCATAATTGTTGTCGCTGTTCCTGAAGGATTACCTCTGGCTGTCACACTCAGTCTTGCTTTTGCAATGAAAAAATTAATGAATGACAAGGCACTTGTAAGGCATCTTTCTGCATGCGAGACAATGGGTTCAGCTAGTTGCATTTGCACAGACAAGACAGGGACATTGACCACTAATAAAATGGTGGTTAATAAAATATGGATATGCGAAAACGTCATCCAGATTGAAGGTAATGAGAGTGCAGACAAACTGAAAACATGTACATCTGAAGGAGTTCTAAACATCCTTTTACAGGCTACATTTCAAAATACTTCTGCTGAAGTAGTTAAAGGTAAAGATGGAAAGGACACAATATTGGGAACCCCAACAGAATCAGCACTGTTGGAATTTGGCTGCCTTTTGGGCGATGATTTTGATGCTTATTCCAAGCGTAGAGAGTATAAGATACTCAAAGTTGAGCCATTCAATTCAGTCCGAAAGAAAATGTCTGTGCTTGTGGGTCTTCCTGATGGAGGGATCCGAGCTTTCTGCAAAGGTGCATCAGAAATAATATTAAAAATGTGTGACAAAATTATTGATTGCAATGGGGAAGTTGTTGATCTTCCCCAAGACCGGGCAAATAATGTCTCCGATGTTATAAATGGCTTTGCCTCTGAAGCTTTGAGAACTCTCTGTTTGGCCTTCAGAGACATAAATGAAACCCATGAGGAAACCAACATTCCAGATGGTGGCTATACTCTAATAGCCTTAGTAGGAATCAAGGATCCAGTACGCCCTGGGGTTAAGGAAGCTGTTCAAACTTGTATAGCTGCTGGAATAACTGTCCGAATGGTTACTGGTGATAACATAATTACAGCTAGAGCTATAGCTAAAGAATGTGGTTTACTTACCGAGGGTGGTGTAGCCATAGAAGGTCCAGATTTTCGTGATTTGTCTCCTGAGCAAATGAATCAAGTCATACCAAAAATTCAGGTTTTGATCTCATCGCAAATTCTGTCACTTTAGTTCTCAAGGACAGGGAAAGGGGATTGTATAGGTGTTTTGTATCCTCTCTCGAGAGTCGAGATGCTTGACTTTTCTTTTGTACTTGATATGGTTTCAGGTGATGGCACGATCCTTACCGCTTGACAAGCACAAGTTAGTAACGAATTTGAGGAATATGTTTGGTGAGGTTGTTGCTGTTACTGGAGATGGAACTAATGATGCTCCTGCTCTGTGTGAGGCTGACATTGGACTTGCAATGGGCATAGCGGGAACTGAGGTTTGTATCTCTTATTTGCAATGGTAATTCTGGCAGTTAAGTGCAGTCCTAGTTTTGTTAATTGTCCTGCATTGTTTAAGATACAAGGTTATCTTCTATTCTAGTTACATCATTTATTTACCGATTCTTTAATTTTTTTTCTTTGTTATCTTGTCTATCTTCCTCCCCTAGACTTGTACCATAGGTGGAGGTATCTTTTCTCTTTTTATGTTAACGACTCTTAGCTGCCATGGATATCTAATAACATTTTTTGTCCTTGAAAATTAATACCATTTACAGGTTGCCAAAGAAAATGCTGATGTAATTATAATGGATGATAACTTCACGACTATTGTCAATGTTGTCAAATGGGGACGTGCAGTATATATAAACATTCAAAAATTTGTGCAGTTTCAATTGACAGTTAATGTTGTTGCTCTGGTTATCAACTTCGTTTCTGCATGCATCACTGGTTTGTTGGTTAATAGAATTTGTTTTCCTTTTTAAATTCTGTTGAATTTGTTTCAAGGAACAATGGTAATAGTCTTCCTTCTTTCAGGATCTGCTCCACTCACGGCTGTTCAGTTGCTTTGGGTCAACTTGATCATGGACACTCTTGGTGCATTGGCCCTGGCTACTGAACCTCCTAACGATGGACTTTTGAAAAGACCCCCAGTTGCAAGGGGAGCAAACTTTATCACCAAACCAATGTGGAGGAATATCATTGGTCAAAGTATATATCAATTAATTATCCTTGCGATTCTAAATTTTGACGGGAAGAGGCTACTTGGAATTAGTGGTTCAGATGCAACAAAAGTGCTTAACACTTTGATATTCAACTCCTTTGTATTTTGCCAGGTACACTCTGCATGCATAATGTCCTAAATGTTGGTTATACTTAATAGACTACAAACATGATAAATTCTGAGGATGGATGCTAAAATAAAAGTTCAAACCTGTAAAAAATGGTATAGTAAATTGTTTTCCATTTATTTAGCTTGTTTTCCCTTTGTCTCTATTTTCCCAGGTGTTTAATGAGATAAACAGTAGAGATATTGAAAAGATAAACATATTCAGAGGCATGTTTGACAGCTGGATATTTTTGTTGATAATTTTCGCCACCTTGGCATTCCAAGTGGTGATAGTTGAATTCCTTGGAACGTTAGCCAGCACTGTGCCTCTAAACTGGCAATTCTGGTTACTAAGTTTGTTAATCGGAGCAGTTAGCATGCCCATAGCTGCTATCCTCAAGTGCATCCCAGTAGAAAGAGATACTAGTAAGCAGCACCATGATGGTTATGAGGCACTGCCATCTGGTCCCGAGCTGGCATAAAATATTATAAGACTATGGTTTCGTTCTACTTTTCTTTGTTTTTGGGTCATGAACATTTATTTTCTTCTGTTTTTGTTTATTTTGGGGAACTAACATTACCAAAAACAACTGGATGAACATTGACAAGAATGCCTTACCAAGCTACATTTTTACACTAGGGCACTTCCTGGGTTGCTTTGCTGATTTCTCCTCCTATTGTGCTTTTAATTCTGTCATTAGTTACGGCTTTGGAAAGACTTGATACCATACGGAATTCCCAGGCATGACAAAACATACATGGGTGTTGGGAAAGAAATGATTGAAGGCAACACCATGAATGGGACTCTGGATAATTTTTTATGGAAGCACTTCTAGGAGAGAAAAATAAGAAGAAAAAATGAAATAAGTTTTTTTTGTAAGTTAAAGTTAACTTATATATTAACTATTTTTTATGGAGAAGTTTATGATGATTTTTCTTCTTATTTTTCTTTCTTTAAAGTGCTCCTGAAAAAGTTTATCCAATTATGTCAGATCCAGATGTTTAAGGAGCATTTTCATTTGAGAACAATTCCAAAATTTTGCAACTCTTAGTTGACATAAATGTTCTTGGAATTCATTTAAGAATCTTGTTGTGCAAAACTCCTAGAAACATTCGTGCGCCCTTGCTTTACCAGCATGACAAGGATGCTCATGCTATCTGATACCAAACAAGCAGATTTGGAGCCCCTCATATTATGCATCCCTGCATTTGAGCAAAGTTTGGACCGTTTGGCTTGCATCGAAGAGATCCCAGCACGTGCTACAACATTTGTATTTGTTGAACAGAAACTAGGTAGTCCTCGAAATTTATAGTTGACTAGTGCATTTTTGTAATGTATGATATACTTTTTTTCATGTTCATTATTAAATATGTTGTTATTGGTATAAAGGCAGATTGTGCCTACCTTTAGAATTTTACTTCAGAATATATATTAATTTGTAATATTGAGACATGATCTTTAATTATATAGTTTTGAAATAATTGCTTCTGATGCGTTCCTAAGCACAATTTCTTGTGCTTCAACTCATCGCATAAACAAAATTGGCACGCTTACTGAGGACAAAATGTACGAGTGATGAATAAATATTTATGTGGTAGATACAACAGAATAACATAAAATCACTTCCCTCTACTCCTAGTCACGTTACAAAGAATCTTGTTCATATAAATAAACTACAATAAAATACACGAATAAGACAATCGGTGAATGTTAAGAGACTGTTCATCTAAACCTCCTTTTTGTTTCTCCATATGCAGCAACTCCCATTACAGTAATTGTATAGCCACCCATGCCAACAACAGTGACAGGATTTCTGAATAATAGTATTGAGATTACAACAGCTACCGCACCTTTCGCATTGCCTAATACCTGGTTAAATTTTAGAGGGAATTCAGTGTATGAGTTGCATTAAATAACAAAACAAGTTTGCAATAAGATAACCTTGACATGAATGGTTAATGTGATTTTGGGTCTGGTTCCCCAAGAAGTAACTTGCACAATCAAATAATTAAAAGGATTTGAGGGAATCTTGATCATGTCATCAGTAGAACGGTTCAGTAAAGTTCTTCAAAAGGAAACAAATAAAAGAGAAACAATGTATTTGGAGAAACTAAAAGAAGTTTCATCTACTGATCAATGTTTAAACATTTATGTGTTAGCATCAAGTGTTTTTTTGGCTCCTTCAAGAAACACTAGCATACAAACGTGTGCATTGCACAAAACTACAAAACTATTGCAGAAGAAAATTAGAATGAATAGAAATTTCTATAAAACATTAAGCATAAAGTACTGTAAAATAATCAAAGAAAACATGTGCACAAAGATTTTATCAAAACATCCTATAGAGAGGAATGTGTCGGGCCTGTCGGCTAATCGTGACTAATGCAATTTGTTAATCTTCCAGAGTCCAAACATTTCTTTTCAAAGTTTAAGCATCTAATATCCTTGTGTAAAATATAGTTAGAAGTCTTTTTCAATTTTTCATTCATTGTTCTAAGGATTAAAAGAACCTTAGTCTTAGTTCTTCTCTTATTAGCTCTTAGCCAAATATTTTTCATAATTTATAGCAGTGAAAAAGAGGCAAACCTGGAGTGTCAGAGCACTAGTATGTTTAGTCACCAGGAAGTTTGTTAAGTTTGCTGCATATGCTGTAATTGAGTTGAGCAAAAGAAGTAGCCCCATGGATTTATTGTCCTTTGCAAGCGTCAATGTGACATCTACGACATTTGGCTCCATGATTAGTGCTGCAGGCAACAAAACTAGGACCGCGATTGGAGACATATACAGGAGCAAATTCATTGAATTCAACTTCTCCCTGTTAAGTTGAAGTGGATGCAACACTATAAGCATTTTGTAACAGCTAAAAAAGGCTTATGCAATTTTGGTTTACCAAGAAATTATGGGGAGTAGGAACCTCAAGAATCCTGGTCAATGTCATGCTAATACTGATAATTTGGAGGAACATAAAAATTTCCAGTACTAATTGCAGAAGAAAATGAAAAATGTATCTTAAGTTGTGTTTTTTAATTCGAATAAAATAATTTAGCCAGAGTTTGAAAAGAGAAACAGGTAGTCTGATGTATGCGACCTAGTCACCCTGTTGTACTTGAATAAGTAAATACATAAGAATGTATGTTTACAATAAAGTTAGGGACTAATCCTTACATAATATAGAATCAATTCATTTGGACAACTCGTGAGAAATGTTATGAATCATGATATAGGTTTAAGGACTCTTGGGAAGTAGCAGTTTCACTATAGTGAAAGGCAAGAGCAGAAGTGCACTATGTCTAAGATTACAAATGAGAGTTTTAGTCACACCATGAGTTCTTTCACAACTACTCCTTTTGTATTTCAATGCAAATAGTATAGGAACTTTCATTGGTTAAGTAACTAAACCACCGAAAAGTAACATGATGTTAGCCCAAAACTTTTAGCAAAAATTAATTATTTGTTGGGTTGGAAATTGATGACAAGTGAAAAGTGAAGAGACACAGATGATGGACACAATCCACTTGGCAACAAAGACTATTCAAATCTAAAACCACCCAAGTTCTCTATTATAATGAAGAAAAGATATTGATTTTTAAGTAGTATTATAATGTTTTGATTGTCTCCACTCGAGTTAAGCATCAGTTCCACCTCTATGACTATATGTTTACAGAGAACCTCCTTCAAATCTCATTAAGATGCTGACTATTTAGATATATGAAAGAAGGGCATTCATTACTAACTTGCACTATTACTTGAACATAGAATTCATGTAACTAAGATGGTTTGCTCAAGAATATTTCAATCAGAGTCCAATATGAATACGAAAAGGAAAACTTAACAAAATCACTAAAATGTAAATAAGTAGATAGCATAAAAAAATATTGAATAGTTTTAAGCAAGAAACATCAGGGTATTAGAACTTTCATTTTTTTTCCCAATCGTATAAGAGCAATGGGGAAAAGAAAAAAGAGAGAAAAGAAAAGCATACTCCTCAGGTAGCAGCGTTCTGCCAGCCCGTCTTTCATGCACTAAGTAATTATGATATATAAACATGTTTAATTACACAAGTTGGAAAAGAGTGTCTTTTTCTAGCAAATGATTTTTGGTGAAAGAAGTGAATTCATAAAAGTTTTCCTTTTTCTCGCATACCATGAATGAGATTGAAGGAACGGGTTAGCTACTATCAAATGTTAAACTCGAGTAAGCAATATCAGCGACACAACTTTCAATTGGACAGTAATAAACCAACAATACCAATAAAGGGCTAAAGAATAAATTTGGCCATTAAAGCAATATCATATCATTCTAAAACATATGTTTTTGAATCCACAATTCACAATGACTTGATATCTTCAGCAAATATGATTTAGGTACCTAGGCACTCCACAACCTTGGCTACTTATCCATTACAGCAGACCTCTTGAAAAGTTCATTAGTTGCAAATACCTTGATTGAAGTATGTTTTTACCTATGACAACATTGATATCACTTTCCTGCTTTTTATTCAAAAAAGATATACTATTGGATGTTTTATGAGTCATCATGATATCATATCTTTCACACACAGTACAGTTAAACAACTTCCTGAAATATCCTTAAATGATTTTTTTCCTAAGAAAAGTAAGTTAAGACAGCCCTTAATGCTCCTATTAATATATATAAAAAATTCCTGAAATATCCTGATTTTTTTCCTATTAATGAACAGGTTTTGGTTAGAAATACATAAGGTGAGGGGAACCATATTAGATTGCCGATTTCAGTAATCTTAGATAATTTTTTTAGCTGGATAGCCCTTGAAGTTAGATGAATAGAGAAATCCTAGAAAGTGTAAAATATCTTTACCCTTCAGAAGAAAGTAAAATGCTCTGAAGGACAGACTTGAAAGCTCTAGCGGCAGTGGCACTTAGGCACATAATGAATCCAAATAAGTGAAACCCTGGCTCGCCCTGCAATCACCAAGAAAATCTTGTAGCTCTACAGAACCAAAATGAGTAAACAGAAAGGAAATATGCACCACGCAGGTCCAAAGAAACTACTATTTCTAGTCAGTCATATAACAAATTAACAAATTATATCGTAGTGTGCAATACACAGAATGCCACAAAAGTTGATAATTAGATAACTATTAAGAGCCTAATTCTTGACAAGCCTTGGGGGAGGTATCATAATCATATATATATAGCATGATTAGATGAAATAAAATGACAAGTTACGTAACTTCAACGCTAGTTGATTTAAAAACAGCAAAAAATCTGGCTATCTGATATCAGCTAATAAATTAGAACTGTACAGATCCAAAAAAGAAGACGACAACAGAGAATAATGTCAAGAAGCATCATTCTCTTGAAAATTTTCCACATCTATTTCGTGTTGGAAAGAAAAAAGTGGGTTAAAAATTAAAAAACCTCTAACTGTTGCGGTTTTACAGTTCTTGAAAAGTTGAGATCTCATTAACCTCCAAGCAGGTTGCACTTCATCAAAGTCAAAATCCCTCGTAGTTTTCAAACAATCACAGATCAACTAAATCTCACAAACAACCACCACCTCATCTGTCCAACATCACTCCAGATCTGGAGTAACCATGATGCAGCATTGACATGTTAATCAAAACACTACGTGCCTCTACAGTCACACAAACACCCTTCACAGGTTACACATCAATATGAATGAATCAAGCCTAACACACACAAACACATCCATGACAATTCACCACATTCAAAATAAATCAATTGAAAGACAAGTTCTACGATTATAGGGAACACAACAAAACATACCCCACTTGCAATGACAACCCCAGCAACAACAGGAACAAGGGCAGCATAGGTAACCCAAGCCTCTCTCTTAAGGGTGGCCAAATAGGCAAAGACAGCAGTGAAGAAAGGAGTGGTTGCCCCAACTGCTTGGTTGAATGACACAGCTAGGTACCTGAGGGAGACGTTGCCACCCACCACAGAGGCACAGAACACAAGGCTCAAAGTTGCAATCTTCATGAACTGAGACCTTGATTTTATCATCTGCTGAGGCACCACCTTGAAGAACACGATGGACACATAGCTGAGAACAGCACAGGCTGACATGTGGCACATTGTGAGGAAGATGGGGAACTTGAACCCATAGTTTGAAAGCAGATACTTGTTCAGAAGAATCACACCAATGTTTGATGAGTACCAAAGTGTCACCAGAAAACATATGAACAGATTCTCCTTGCTGTTGATGGACATGGTCTTTCCACTCTTGCCTCCACCCCCACCCTGGATTTCCATTTTTCACATCAGCCTCTAATCATTACACTCCCAAAATTAAAAATAAAATTAAAATTAAAAAATGTTTTTTCCCCCCCAACCTTTTTCTGTTTGTTTTATGCTTTGTTATATGCACTTACCCCACTTTCTTTCACTGTGGCCTTGGCTTCACTTTCAAAGGATGCTTTGGATCTCATGCCGTAAGAACCATGTGTGCTCATTGAAACTTTTTGTTGGTACGTTGGAGATGGGGCACACCCTGCTTTTGTTTGGGGACTATCTATATGTATACACAATGGGGTCTTAAATTTTTAATTGTTCTCTGTCATGGCATTCAGCATTGGTGATGGTGATGAACGTTGGTTGAAAGCTTGTGGAATGGATTTGAGTCAGGTTTTGTCGATGCTATTGCTAATCAAGTAGTACCGATTTAGAGGAAGGAATATTTATAGAAAGTTTTCTGTTGACATTTTCAAGGTAGCATCCATAAATGTTATGCTTCAAGGACTAACACCATTCTCTCTTAACCGATCATTGTGCTCACAATTTACTAACCGATCATCCAAAACCTTTTGAAATAAACACATTTTGTCTTTTTTATATAATAAAATAATATGTGTTAAAAAATATATCATCACTTTATCATAAATGATCATATGTATATAATCAAAAGGTTTCATATCAACGAACTGTGATATGATTACTGATTAGTAAATAATTTTAATTTTTTAAAATATTTAGTTAGATTAGTCATCAACTTTCGTATAGAAATATTGTAATTTACAAAAATAAATAAAGTTTCTGCCCAGTTGATTAACATTGCCTATTTTTATACTGATTGTCTTAAAAAAAATTATAAAAGAAAAACTTTTAATTGATTAATAATATAAAAACTTTTACAAATTGTTTTTGGTATACAAGTGTAGGAATTCTTTCACTCTCGGGCTAGATGGGGATGTTATTGTGAAGATTTTTTTTGGGTAATAGAATTGAATTCCAAATCATTTAAAACATAAAGCAAGTTAGTATCATTTTGAGAGAACCTATTTTTGATTGAAATTGAAAAGGGGTGTCCCACACATCATATCCGTGGTCCTTCCACCACCCAAAATTTTCCCTTAATGTTAGGATTGGAGTAAACTAATCCTGATTTTTGGGGTGTTTTTGTTTGTTGTGGGGCTAATAATGAGAGATTTAATAATTAGGCTAAATAAAAGGGTGAAATAATAAAGACTAAAGTTTATGGGAAATGAGATCCGTTTCGATGCAAATGATAAAAGCGGTGCAAGACGACACGTTGGAAACAAAACGACAAAGATCTGAACACTTGTCGTATAACCTCATCTTTCTTTGATTTGTGTTTCAAACGCCAACTCTTCCAAGCCAACTTTGATTTCTCACCACCGACACTCATGCTACGAGATTGGATCAACAAAGACCCTTTTTATTTTTCATATAAGAATTTTTTGTACCAAATATACATACAATATCTTTTAAAACAAGGTATAACTCCTATAAAGATAAATAAGAGACAAAATGATTCATATAAAAACAAATGACAAAAGATTATTTAAAAGGTTTGTTCGTATAATGGCATAGATATATGTTATTTTATATTGTTTATTTTAAATAATATTTTGTTGTTTCTTTTTATATGAATCATTTCGTCTCTTATTTATTTATTTTACAACTATGTAATTTTCTTTTAAGTGAAACTAAATGTATGTATTTTTTCTTCATTTTTTAGTTTTATTTTGGAACTATTCATGAGTAATTGCTCATAAAATAAAAATTATTTTCCCTTTTTGTAAGGTAATTACAAATTTAAAGAGATGTATTTGATTGAGATTTTATAAAATTATTTTAGTAAAAAAAATTGTAATTTTTTTAAAGATTTTGAAAGAATGCAATGACGTTTAATTATTATTTTTTAAATATAATAACTTTTAAGAAGTTTTTAAAAAATAACTTTTATAATCAATATTTTGTATTGATTTATATAATAAGAATATATAAGATTTTAAGGAATTTGTAATATTTCAAAATACAGTATAAATTTTTAAAAAGCGATACAAGTAATAAAAAATAATATAATTGATAAGGTTTGAATAAAGAAAAATCAAATTAATACAATTTTTTAATCTTTAATAAATAATTGATTCTATTTTCATAGTAACATTCTTTTACATATAATATTCTTTTCTTATTCATGCTATTAAATTTAAATAATATGTTCAAATTTATAATATTTGTTAACTAATAAAATTGTTAAATTTGACCAAATCTAATGGGTTGATCTAAATTTGTTTGTCTGCTAGGTCAAGCCAAATTTAATAATTGATAATATTTAATAATTTAATAATAATTTAAAAAATTTAATATTAAAAATAAATATTAAGAGAGAGATAGGAGAGAGTGAAAGAAATAATAAAGGCAAGAGAAGCCTTTAGAGAGAGAAAAAAAAATGAAGGAAAAAAGTCTTACAAAATTAAAAAAGATTGAGATTGTTGAATGAGTGAATTATATGTAAATTTTACTAAAAAATCTTACAAAATTCATCATTCAAAATAATTTATTAATTTTTTTTAATATTAACAGACTTTTTTAAAGTAAAAACACTTAATTAAATACTACTAAATTCCGATATATTCCTAAAAAATTTTAATTATTTTAATTGAATATCACTAAATTCTAATATATTTTTTTAAAACAATTAGATTATCTTAATTGACTACCATATAAATTTTTTATATTAATTTTTTTTATTGAATGTCACTACTTTTTTTATAATTAAAAATATTTTAAAATTCTTTAAAATCTTAATCCAATATATTTATCAAAAAGTGTGAAAATCTTAGGTACATTAGCTTGTATTTTTATTTTCTGTTTTTATTTTTTAACTACAAAACTTTCATCTTATTTTCAAACTGTTTCTTGTATTTGTACCAGAGATATCATAACATTTTTTTTTTTTGTTTTAGTTTGATACGTTAGTAGGTCATGATAATTTTACGAATTTTTAATTACATTTCTAAAGTATACAAATTTTTAATTGAGTCGTTCATTTTCTATAATATCTGTAAATGAGTTATTAAAATCGCCACAATTGCTATTTTCTAACAATTTAAGTTGACGTAAACTGTTTTCAGTAAATCAGTTATAAAATAGTAGAAAATCAAGGACTCAATTAATTTATGTCTACATAATTTTAAGTAAGATAGAATTACTTTCATAATTAAGCCCTTAAATTTTGACAATTTTGTAATCAAGTCAATTAATTTAAATATATATATTCTTTTATTAACTTATTACAATTTCACACACAACTCTTCTATAAGCATTAGTGCAAGCAAGATTAAGACCATGTGAATTGACTAGTAAATAGTAATTTTGCATTGATGTTAGTTGTGTAACCACAAGATCCCGAGACCACCAAAACTTGAAAGACCCAAATATAGTGTATGATCCAATGTGAAAAAATGTGGGCCTGTTTCAAGTTCAATAAATATTGTATCCATTAATTTGGATATAAAACGGATGTGGGCCAGCTGAGGTTGGACCAACTACCTAGACCTATAAAGTTGTTCCAATGTTATTCTAGCTAAGACCTCAATGGGAGATTTCACATTAATTTTGTTAGTGGCTTATCCTAGTAGTTTCAAATATACTACTTCTATTTAATGTATATTTCCTACCACATTATTTCTCAACTTTTCTTTTCCTATTCCTTCAAATTCATCCCCTATCCAAACAAAACAATAATAAATTATGGAAGTATTATTAATAACATTAAAGAGCTATTTAGTACACAAAAAATTTTAATTTCTCAAAAATCTAACATTAAGAATGTTAATTTTTTGCATTTAATTTATTATTTAAAAAATAAAATTTCTAAGAAATATTGTTTCTCAATAATGATTTTTGCATAGATTTTTACAAAAATAATTTCAAGGTGAAAAACTAAATTTCTTGAGGTAATTTTTTGTTGTTATTGTTATGATAATATTATTTTTATTTGTTTATTTAATATAGTAAAAATAATTGATTCCTTAGTAACATTTATACATATTCTCATAAATATTTATTACTAATCAAATATATTTTCCTCATTTTTAAGAATCATGATTTTTATGAAAAAAATCATCATATACTAAATATCCTCTAAATTTCATTAATATTAAAAATATGGAATCTTAATATAAACAATAAACAAGTAAAATTAAAGAGATCAAAATAATGCTTATGATCAATAAACCACAGGGATAAAAATATAATTGAGTGAAAAATTATAACGATAAATTAGATGTAAAACTAAGAACAGATAATTATTATGCTGATAACAAATTAATTCCAAGATAAAAAAATCTTAATAAAATATTATTTAAAACTTAAATTAACAATAAATAAAGAATAATTGTTATATATATATATATATATTTTTTTTTTGTATTTAACCTTGAGTATCTAAACCTTAAGCAACCGTTTAATTGACCTAATGCCCTACACAACCTTGCATCATTCAAAGTTCAAACCACATGATGATAATAATGTATTCCACAACTTGTTGTAATTTCTCATCTCTTCAATGGTATGTTTCTATAAAAATGGAACGTGGTTAACTTTAATAGTAGAGTCAAAACAAAAATTGGAATTGGAAATTACCCGAATTGCAAGGAATGGAAAAATGGGTAACAGGATGGAATTGCCAAATTCAAGATAGGGTTCGAAATTGGAAGTGCATGTGTGTTGCAGTCGCAGAGAATCACCAAAAGAAGAGAAGAGGTGCATGTGACAAATTACAGAGTGCAGAGTGGTTGGGGTTCCTTGTCTTGTGGTTTAGTTTTTTCAGAGTGACAACATTAAACATGTCTCGTACTTAAAATGATAGGGGAATCAAGACAAAGGATAATGGTGGGTGGGAACAACATTGGAAGATGAAATCATGAAAGGGAAAGTAAAATATCAGAAACTCCACAAATTTTAACTTATCTCTACTTTCTGCTGTTCTATTGTGTATCTTTAAATACTTTATGTGTTTTTGTTTTTTTCAGAAAAATTAATTACCATCACTGTCATAATGATATCTACTGTTCATTACTACTGTGTAGTGTGTACTGTCTTTTGTTTTTTTCTATGGAAAATTCATTCCAGTTCACCACTATCTAAATACTAGAAAATAGTGAAAATTAAAAATTATGAGCATAATTATTGGAATATCTTAATTTCATGGTTCTTTAAAAGATTTTCAAAACAATTATTCCATTGCTCAAAGAAAACTGTATCAATTTCTTGTTTTACAACTATAAATTTTGTATATATTACTCTTCCTATTATGAATATAACTAAAAATAATAATTCACGCTAATTGAAAAGTTTACATTACTTAATTTTGTCAATTTCATATAATTATTTTTCTAAATTATTTGTTCTTAGATTTATATATCAATAATAAAAAGAAACTTCGAAAATACAATTTTAACTAAATGAAAGATTATCTTGGAGGTAATAATATTAAATAGAGTGAAATTAATTAAGATTTGTTTATGTTTGAGACCAATAATCATGAAATTTGTATTTGCTTATGTTTAGAATAGGAGGGAGAATTTGTTTGGATTAATTTTTTTTTTTGAAAGCATCTTTATGAAATAATAAATAAATAAATTTTTTTAAGGAGGCATTTGGCACACTAACAATGTTAGTTTTTTTTTTTTTTTTTGCGTTTGATTAATTAAAAATAAAATATCATCTTATCTTTATTTACTTGTTTAATGTAACAAAAAAATTTTGATTTCAATATAATATTTATAAATATTTTTAAAAATATTTATGATCAATTGAATCAATTTTAATAATTTATAAGAATCATGATTTCAACTATTTATAATTCCTAAATATTAGTTTTTTTCAAATAACAAAAAATAATATAATTTTCAGGATTTTTGATTTTCATAACTCATGATTATCATGTAAGAAAAAATTTTGTATACTAAACGTCTTCTAAAAGCATTAAAATTAATAACCAAAGATATTTATTCTATTCGATCATTTTTAAAAGACCTAAATTCAAAATTTATTTTTGTCCTTTTTATAAGAACTATTTTTTTAAATAATTTTATAAAAACTAATTTAAAATGTCCTTTTACAATTACTTTTTTATTTTTACAAGAAACACTTTTTAAAATCATGAATTCAATAAACTAAGTGTTTGATTAATGTTAGAATAGTTTTGAAAAAAGTACTACTACCTTATGTTCTTATTACAAGACTCAAATTTTAAATTGATTTGGTATTTTTCATAAGCCTTAATTTTTTATTTTAAAAAAATATTCTTATTAAATATATTTTTTGAGCTCAACAATTAAATAAAATTTATTGAATTCATCTCTCTTAAAATATAATAATTTTCTTTTTATTTTTGTTTTTGGAATAAATTTTTTAGAAACTTAAATTAAGTGTATGATTAATTTAAAGGTTGTTTTGTAAAGAAATAAAATTTTAAGATATATTTATTTTTTTAATCCACAAAACTAATTTTTCTTAATCTTGATAAAAAACTTATTTTAATTTTATGATAAAAAACTAGAGTTCGTAATATACATTTATAATGCTATAATAAAATTAACCAATTTTTTATTCCCCATAAATTATGCAATTGAATCTTGAAGAATTTGCTTTTCATTCATAAAAGAAAATGAAGAAATACAATAACTATTATAGGACTCCTCCTCACTCAACTATAAGAAATATTAATTAGTTCATGTACTTATTAATTAATAAATTTAATTAATATTATTTAATTTTATTAATCTTAAAAAAATTCTTTCCTAATTACCCTTCCAAATTATATTAAAAATAAAAAATAGTCATTAAAAAAATTTCAAATGACCAAAGAGCATTTTAGAGATGTTAACTTTAAATATAATAAAATTAATTAAATTTATTTATATTTAGATAAAATATGTATAAGATTTTTTTTTATATTTAAGTCCGAAGAGAATATAATGTAAAATATTGTGTTAGAATGCAATTTTTTTTTGTAATAATATATTTATAGAAATTAAAAAGAGTTAATACAAAAATAAATCGAGACAAAAAAAATATTTAAAAAATGAAAATAAAATGAAGTAATAATTAATACTTTCCTAACATGTTAAAATAATAAACAACTTAAAATAGAAAATGTTCCATAGTTGGCATAGACAACGACATGATGGAGCAATTCTTCGAGTATCGGTCACGAGTAAAGCTCTATCCTTCCATAAATTCTTACAAATCTTCTCAACATTTTACGAAATAAAAGTACTACTACTACAAAATAAAATAAATAAATGCATGTGTCACGAATTTTAAGAATATTAAATACTTTCTTAATTTAATAAATAATAAAGGATGAACAGAAAAGTAGAGTAAACGTGTGGGTCCCATTGCGCCACCGATTGGCGTGGGCCGATAAAAATAGCACCTGAAAACAATCGACGGCCCATAACGAGCCCAGTCAAATGGGGCCCCACGTGGGCCCGGGCCCACATGGGTGAACGGAATTTACCACAGTGCCCTCGCGCTCGCCGCTTTCATTTTCACTTGCAGCCTTTTCGCTGCACAGAGAGAGAGACACACTCTCTTCTTCGCTTTCTTCTTTCTCTCTGGCTGCGAGGCTCTGAATTTCGCAACATCGCGAAACCCTAGGCACTGGCTCGCTCGCGTTTCGCGCGCCCATTTTTCATTTCAAGGTGAAGTCAAAACGCGCTTCCTCGTTTCGTTTTGGTTTTGCCCCTTTTTGGCATGCTTGTTTCTCTCAGCGCTTCATTTATGACTCTCCCTTAATTAATGGCTACGGTTGATGCGATTGCGAGTGAGAAAGTGTTTGTTTGTGATTGATGTGACCGTCATTCTTAATGCTTCCGTTTCATTAATTGTTAATTAATGCTATGAGGTTGGTGCGCACTAATTCCACCTTTTTAATCCCCTTTCTTCCTTCCTTTCTCTCTTCTCTTCTCTTCTCTTCTCACCTCCGTCGTTTCACACGCAATGCCCTGTCGTTTCGTCCCTCATTCGCACCCAACAACTTGTTCTTCTTCATCTTCATCTTCATGTTCGTTCGTTTCAATTTCTTTGCTTGCATGTTATATTCGGAAGAGTCGCCTTTCATGGTTTCACTTTGCCACGCCATTTAAAAAAAAAAAATTATTTTCGTTTCAGGATATAGTTACTTGCAGTTCATGGCTTGGGATCTGTGGAGTTCGTCGTATGGGCAAGGTTTCTCCATTTCCACTGTACTAGTATTTGTCTTCTCGTTAATAATTTATACTTGTATCTGTGTGTGAAGTAATTTGTTAATCGTTTAGTCATTAGTGGGTTGCTTCGAATTCTTTTTTTATTTTTATCGCCACTTCTCCAAAAAGTTGAGATGAATAACTTAAAGTCGACTTGTGAAAAATGTTTAATTTATGTTCTGTGATGAGGGATCAAAGTACTCCTCGAGGATTTCAATAAATCTGTATAATTATTAAATTTTAGTAATCATGCACAGCAAATATAATATGTAAATCAGACATTTGTAGTTATCTAATCTTATTGACATTCACTTATATTTTTTAAAAGAAGTACATTATAATGTATTTATTTAATGAAACATTAAATGATTTCAAAATTTTATGAAAATTTGTAGACTTGATTTCTCAATTAAAAAGTTTTAATTCACTGGTTGAATTAATACAATTTAATATATATAAGAGAGTTATTGAAGAAAGTAATTTCACCCAGACTTATTTTTTGAGTATCTTGATTTTTTTTCTTATTATTTTCTTTTCTCTTAATTATAAAGAAGTTTAACCAAACAAGATATATTGAATTTGACATGGAATTTATTTATGTACTTGTCTCAGTTGCGAGTGGTAGTTATTACTCGTCACAGCATCCTGAATGTGACTTCTACTTTGGATGTGGCCGCGGTAATTATTGTTTCACTCTCTCACTCGCGCTGCATTTGTGTTATCCGTATGTTTTTACCCTGTCTTGTTAAATTTGTAGATGTGATAGAGGAGGATGCCTTGAACGAGGAATCCTGTGTTCAGGTTTTGAGAATTTTGATCACCAAAGCGGATACTGAGATTGAGGAACTTGAAAAGGATCTCTTGTTGCTTCAGAATGAATTGGCCTGCACTGAGCATGAAAAATGGCCTGATTTATGCTGTGGTGCTCTCACTGAGAGAATCAACCGGCTTGATGTGGCGGTTAGCACTTTGAAGAATGATCGTGCTGATGATGCAGAGATGCAGCAGCTACTGCAAAGTGAACCTGCTGAGACACTTCATGAAATAGTGAAGGCTTTACAGAGAGATTACTGTCGGGATGTACTTGTCCAGGTTTGGCTTTTGAAATCCCTTTTGAAATATATTTTTTGTTTCTGAAGATTGAAAAGAGGCTGCTACATTTACCCGTTTTACCATGCTAACTTTGTATTTGCCAGCCACTTTAGGCATTTTTGTCTTTGATATTATCCCTGCTAAACGATATGTTATCTATGATTCCTTGTTTCTTTTAATAGCTGAAAGCTTTATTGTGACTAGCAATTTAGTGCACGGAACTAGAAGGGATATTACTTATAAATAATAGGCTTAATGCACTGTAATCCTTATGGAATCTATATCTAGGTTGTTGTTCATCAGAGGAATTCAGTGCCAGAGTAATTTAGTCTCTATGATCAAGGTTTTCAAAATTGAGAGTTTACGTAAATTTGTTGAGGCCCCATATAATTGAATCGTAAACTCGTAAGAATTTACTTAATTTGAAAAACATATTAAAATACTTATAAATAACATAAAATAGCAAATCACAATAATAAGGAAAACAAAGTTTAATACCAAATCATGCACAATTTCATACAAGACAATAGTTCTTAAAATGACAACAAATAAAAAACTGGAAAAAAAAATCTGGGATTAAAAACTATTCAACTCGATCGAATAAAACCCTAAACCACATATATAACTCCCTGATTGGAAAAAAAACTACAAGACACAATATCTGGAACAGGACACAATGTCTGGATTGAATAAAAAAAGTTGGACATGAAGAAGAGAGAAAAATAAAGGGGAAAGAACCTTCACGAGGATCCGGGAACACGACTGCATGACAGGAACAACCTGAAACAGGGGTTGCTGATTGGAGAACAGAGATGCTTGCTAACAAACCAGCAACAAGCAAGCCACAAAGGACACGACCCTGACGCCGACCAGCAATGAGCAAGCCCCCAAATGAGCAGACGCTACCCCATTGAACAAATCGGTGACGCAACCCCAACAAACAAATAGCCATGAGCAAGCCATGACGAACAAAACCAGAGATGCAAGTTTTGAGTTCAGCAGTTGAGACTTGAGATTGTGAGAAACAGCTGAGCTGAATTGTGGGAAGAAAAGAAAACCTAATTTGAAACGGGGGTTATTGGTGTTGTTTTGGGGCTTTTCTAAGTGACTCATGTAGACACGCCCAATGATGGCAACCTTGCAATTTTGTCTGAGTTTGGGCGAGTTCTCTCGAGTCTGCACAAGTTTACTTGAAAATGATTTTGCATGCGAATTGAATAGGTTGGGGTGTACAGACTTGTAAAATCGGTAGTTTTTACAAGTTAAAACTCGTTTTTGACAACCATGCCTATGATAATTCAATAGGCCGAGAAGTTTAGTCTCTGTATATAATATTTGGTGTTTAATTGGTCTATTAGAGTCTAATAAAAAACACAAGCTTCAAAATAGTTATTAAAGTAGAGGAAATTTTGAAGTCTATGTGCCTTGTATCATCTAAGCAAATCCACTTCTTAACTTCTTTTAGGAGCTGTAAGTGAAGGTTGAAGAAAGATTAAAAAAAGTTGACTCTTTGGAAGCATGAGACACTGACATATATTCCTTAATTACTATAATTCAAATATTTATGCAGGGGGAAGTAACTTTTATGCTACTATTGATTATAGTTTATACTACTGCACTATAAAATAGTTTATGAATTGTACATCTATATTTTTATTTATTTATTTTTTTTAATTTAAGGGTTAACCTATGGACTTTCTCTGTTCTGCAAGTGCTAGATAATGACAAGTTGACAATAGTATATATTAAGCTATCCCTTGCTTTCCATTTAGCACATATATTTACTCCTATCTCCTTGGTTGCTCGAGTATCTTATGATGGTAGTATTAGTTAGATGTACAGTATTTAACTGTTGAAACTTGGTTTTGAATGTAATTAGTATGTTTTTCTTCCCCTACCTTTTCAATTTGAAGCAGTATCTAGATATGGATATCTCAAGTCCGATTGTGAATGTTACTGAACATGCACTAGACAAAGATTCTAGCACCATTGATTCTAATGTAATCATTAAGGAGGAAGAAAAAGAACTCCATGGAACCTCAGAAAGCTCTGAAAGCTTGGAACTTCTTTTGGAGCTTCATGAAAAGAGATCAGATAATCCTGAAAAGATTGAGGTAGAGAAAGCCCTGTTACTGTATTTTTTTATTTTAAAAAAGCACTTATTTTCTATTCCTGCATGTCTTAATGTACTACAAATTATAATGCTTGGGGTGAGCACATTTTTCAAAATAGTTTATTGCTACATCAATGTTTCTTTCCAAATTTTGTTAGCCTCTGGAATCTGTAATATTAAGACTCATTTAAAACTCATGCAGTCATGCTTACTTTATCTGTTTGTGTGATGATTGCTTGGCATGACTACTTGCTGCATATGCAATTGCTTTAAATCTTACAAGTTCAACATAAGTGTGCAGTAATTTTCTGTCTCTCTAGCCCATATAAAGCCATGATTCAGGCAATGGATATTATATTTGAAAACACAGCGGAGATTTGCCACTAGCTATTGTATTTAAGATTGAGGGTTGGCTATATCCAATTGACGATTTGGGAACAAGCCATTTACAAATAAGCCCACAATAGTGTGTTTGTTTTTACATTTGAAATGCTCAAACTCCAGTTTGACTCAAAGCAACAAGAACAAGCTTCTCCATTGAGGTGTCTTGAAAGTTGTGATGAGTACATACCAAATACAAAGTTAGATATGCACATGGGTCTGTGCTTGCCCAAATCTCCTACAGTCCTACCTGTTATTATTATTGTCAGTTTCAAGTCAATCGTCCTTAACTGATTTTTGGCCAATGTTGACCCTTGAGATTATTAATGACAGCAGACTTCAAACAAAATCAAACTTCCACCCCCAAATTTCCTGACCTTGTAACTGGGCCACCCACAGAAGAGAGAATATTGGTAGTCTTAATTCAGATGGATTTCGAGGAAGAAAGTAAAAAACAAGTCATATTTTTTTTAGATGCACCATGTTGTGCCTGTCAATTATACGGTACCAAATATCAGGATCAATTACCCATTTAAGTAATGTTTGGCCCAGTTTCTTTTTTGTTATTATTTTCTTAAATCTTCTCTTTAAAAGGTGAAGCTAGGCCAAACACATTTAGAGAAAAACTCTTGAAAACTCGAGGACTTTGATTTTTTATAAGAAAAAAAAGGGGATAAGTATCTCTAATAAATAGTTAACTGAAGTAGCTTCTAAATGTACGTTGCACACTTTAGCCTCCTCCTTCCTCTCATCTTATACTAATCAACATGGGACAAAGAAATAAAGTTTAGTTTTATAGGAGCTTTTAAGCTATAACTGTCGAACAGTTTTTTATTTTTAAAGCTCTTATATTGAGCTTGAACTTTGAATTAAAATTTAAGAAAGGATTCACATACTAGTTCCTGACAGAGCGAACCTTTGTTTGGCATTGAGACCTAAGTAAAAAGAGAGTTAGTCCCCGTAAAATTGAGCTTCCAATAACAATCTGTATTGTTTTATTTTACAGTTTTTTTTTCGTGGGTGTGTGAAGGTCTGACCTTGGCAACCATATATATATATATATATATGCATGATAAAAATTTGAAGCCAAGCCCAAGGGCGATATCTTTAGTAGGGAGGACTGGTTCATATCTACCTCGATTTCAATTATATTTCAGCCTTAATGTTGTACACAATAATGCCTCGAATCCCCGAATCCCCGGTGAAAATTGTCTCAGCCAACGGACCTGCTTAAAATCCTGATTAGATTCTTTTCTTTCAAGGAATTACCTGAAAAATCTCTTGCGAGAAGTCCCAATTTGGGGGATATCATCTGTGCAACTGATCACTCTGATGGGATGAAATTATCAGAAACATCTGATAATAAAGTTATTGGAAATGAAGAAGCCGGAAGAAGCCAACACATTAATACAGATAGAGGTCAAATCTTTGATTTGTTTTCCGCCAATGACAATGGAAATATTCCAAGTGAAGTCAAGGTGCAAGAAGATCTGTTGTTTCTCTTTTAATCAATTTAAACTTCTTGGATGTAGCAGTCACTATTTTACTTCAATTTTAAAAAGGTTTTTAGTGCATTATTTTTTCTTTAATTGTGCAGAAAGAAAATGAATTTGTCAAAGAAAAAGATGTTAGCTCAGGTGATTTTAGACCTGCAATTGGCGTCAAGGGGAGGAAAAAGTGTCTTCATTCCAGATTAGGTTCTTCACAGCAACGAAAAAGTGGAAAATCAGATCTAGACAAAGAGCTACGTGATATTGCCCCAAAAACTGCACGAAGAGCTTGCAGGAAAGAATCCAAGGTTTCTCCAGATGAAGATTCAAACTCTCTGAATTTACCTCTACAAGTTGTTTATCCTCAAATAAATGCTGACACCGAATTCTGCTCCTTTAAAGGAAGTAATGGTAATAATTCTGGACAAGTTGAAAACTCGACCGTCATTCATGCTGAAAATTCTGCATTGATTTCACTGCTAGGGATGCAAACCAAGAGTGCCCTGTATACTGGGTTACAGCTGATAGATGAAGAAAAACAAGCGCAAGACCTTAAATCCCAAATTGCTGCTAACCTCAGCAAGTCCAATATGAGTTTCCATTCAAAACTAAAAGCTCAGGAAAAGCAGAAACTGGAACTAGAGGCATTTTCTTCCAGAGAATCACATGACAGTTATACAGAAGTTATTCCAAGTACATCCATAATTGTATCAACTAAGAGGCAGCGAAAACGTAAACCCTGTACTGATGTTGCCATTTTAAATAAGTCCATGAACCGGAAGATTAATACTAGAAGGGCAGTACAACCTGACAAGGATGAAATTGAAGGTCGTGCTATTGTTTTATATGATAGCAAATTTTCTGAACTACAAAAGAAAAGAAAAGTTTCGAAGTTGCCGATCACTGTGGACATACAAAATTCAACCCATAACTTGGACATGGGAAGCCAGGTAGATCTTCACTCTAGCAAGTCACATTCCTTGGTGGATTCTCATAATGAGACCTCATCATTGCTGCCTAATACTAACTTGAAGAGCATGACATTGACTGATTTGAGGGCCCTGGCAAAAAAATACAATGTGACTAAGTACTATAAGCTTCGAAAAGAAGCTTTGGTCGGTCAATTATTTCAGCGACTCAGTAGATGCTGAACTTAATGGTGGTAACCCATTTCTGCCATGCTATTTTTGGGTTGGTTATCCTGGAATTTGGTATAGGATTCTGACGTAGTTATGAATGAGAGATACACAGGCAAACAAAAATGGATTTTGTGACAGGATATTGTACAGCCTATAGATAGAATTTTGTAAATGAAAGGAAGTATAGATTTCCTTCCTTGCAAGTGCAACTGGTTAGTCATTGTGACCTCATAGGAGACTACGAACTTTGCTGAGATTGATCAATCAATTTGTTAAATATGAAGCGCGGGTTACAACATTAACAAATTTGGTGGCGTTTTTGTGTGAATATTCAGTTTTATGCTGTCGTTCTCTCCAATTTACCCCTTTTTTAAGGGTATTAGTATTGCATGTTATAACATGTTTCAAGGTCTTCTGCATTATTGTTCAATAATCTGCACACCTATATTTATTTACTATTATTTAATGTCATTTATTTGTTTTAATATTGTAAGAACTTAGAATCAATAAATAATATTTGTAATTTTTATTTTTGCCATTTTTTTTTCCATTTATTCAAATATTGTTTTCCTTCTCTTGAATTCATTAGGAAAAATAATAAATTTTCACAACTGATTTTTTTTAATAACTATTTTTAAAATTTTAAATATAAGTCATAATAGAATTCTTTAAAATTACTTTAACTTCTTATATCTCAATAAAATAATGTAGAATTATACGGTACTCGTACATGCATGGTAAAATTGTTTTTTTTTTAGTAGGAACATTTGCTAATCATTTACGTTCTCATTAGATTAGATTAAACTATTCAATCATAGTTCATCGAGTTTAGAAATATTACAATTAAACTATGCACCAATAAATGTTAATTGAACGTTTGCTTTTTATATGCTAGAATTCATATAAAATAAAAGACTCCAAATTATTAAGATAGTTGCTCAACATTTTTTTATTGATTCAAAAACATTAGCACACCATTATACCAGGAGGAAATTTTGGTTAAGTTTCAAAATTTTTATCTTTAGCAATTGACCTTTTGTATCCTTGCCAAACTCATAGTGATAGGTATGTGAATGCAGTGAATACAGATTTCATTATCCTCTCTTTGTTTTTGTATCTTATATCTATTCATGTTTTCATACTTCACATATATAAAATTTGTATTCTCATTTTCATCTCTATCAAGTATCAAATATACTCATTCATTCCATACCTATCCAAAAATTAATTAAATATTTTTATAAAATATAAAAAAAAATTAAAATTTCAACATAGAGTAATTATAAAATTACATTAATTAAATTTCATTTGACATAAATTTAAAATAGAATAAGAATTACATAAATGTCAAGTAAATTCTTAAAAAATTAAAATAGGTTTATATAAATTGAAAATGGATACGAGTACAGGTATGAAATAAGTAGCTATATACTCGTCCTCACATATGATTTAATAAATCATGTATTACTCATACCTGATCAAGCTAGATATTTCTCGCAGAAGTCGGGATGGATTTGAATATTACTCATATATAAATTCATTTTTTATCCTTACATAGCTTATACTAATTTGTTGCGTCATTTTTTTTAATTTTTATATTTATAATTGTTGTTCTACTCATTAATTATAAACATCTATTTTTTTGGTAGATTATAAACATCCGTTTAAACTTGTTAACACATTCATTTTGTACATGTTCATAGGCATTTTATACAAATAGGAGAATATCGAAAGTATTATTAATATCTTTATTATAAACCGGTCTGTACTTTGAAAATAAACTGATTTATTCTTTGAATCAAAATCTGAGTTATCTTTAAAGGCCACATATCCTCAAAACATGAAACATAAATATCACGAAGATTATCTACAAAATTTTCAGAATCAGACAAAACACTACCATTTTCAGGTTACTCTACTATCCTACATATTCACTAAAATGGATAAAAATTATTGTAACAAATCAAACAAATTTATGAAGATGATTTTTTTTTTATTGAAGATGAAAAATATTTCACATATTAATTGTTATATCTTAAAAATAAATTACAAATGTCGAACAATAAACCAGTTATAGTGTCAATTACTAAAGAAGAAAATTTTGATTGTTTTTTACAATATTATTTAATCACACGCTTTGGTAAATTTATTGACTTTTATTATATATATTTTAATGACCACACTTAAAATAATTTTTATTGATTAATCATTATAAAATCTTTACTTTATAGTACATGAAAATTAATTGCATTTGTTATTTAATATATTTTTTTAAACTTTTTTGTAGTTATATTATATATACTATTTAGATATTATGATAAGGTAGGTCTCTTACTGATATAAGAAAATAGTATATGCACTAATAATATATAAGATTTTTACATTATCATCTCATCAAAAATTATAGTGTATGAGAAATTTGTTGATTTTGATAAAAAAAATTACATTAAAAATTGTATAAAAGATGATTTTTAATTGGTCAATGGTAGAACAAGTACCTAATAACTTTTTCTCTTCATCTTTTTATTTATTTATTTATTTATTATCTTTTAATTGTTTAATTATTCGGATATTCACACACATCAACTTGTCACCAAAACACATTAATAACTTCTACTTATGTCCTAATTCATCTAATCTAAGAGTTAGACTTGCTTCAAATTTTTGTCTTTACCTTTAGTCTTATTTAACTAGAAGCGAAAAAAAGGAGTTTTATAATAAGTTAAAAGGTGACAATGAGGGTGAAGGAAAAAGGCATTTAAGGATAAAAGAAAATACTTTAAAATTTTAAATTAAATGGAATGATAATGAGTATTGAAAATGTGACGATCGCTTGAGTAATTAAAAAAAGAAATGAAAAGATATTGACACAACCAACAAGAGGCACACATGTGTAAAAATGATACACAAAATAACCCTTCAAATGCTTGAAAATAAATTTTGATTTCTTAGCTCATAAGTTGACATTTCTATTGTGTAATACTTACTTGAGAGCAACTGTTTTGGAGGTTTTATCCAACTTTAAAACTCATAAGTCAATATTATTGTTTTTAAATAATTTCAACTTGGGATCAATTTTTCTGGATATGCCATCTTGATCTAAACAAGAATAAAAAAAAAACTTATGTTATAACTATCTTTACAACAACAAATTGACCTATTCACATGATTTGTGGTTAGTCTATTGTTAGCTAAAACAAACTCCATATAAATTAGACCAAGGAAAATACTAAAAGATATATTGCAAAACTAAGACACTTGTCACTTGAAGAATTTATTGTTTACTAAGACATTTCATGTGGCAAAAAAAAGGTAACAAACTTTTTAACAAAAAGCTATCTACGAAGAGAGATATCCTGCAAAAAGGCACAAAACTATTTCTCAATTTTACAAACACTTAAAGTTAATATTGATTTAAATCGAAGTCTTTGTCAATGTCACTACTAGATTTTCTCAAAGTTCATGATCGCTATAAGGAGAGAGGCAAACTCAGATAATAGGAGGACTATATATATAAAGGATAAAGTTCATCTAACACATAATTTGTATGACTTCACATTCCAATTATCATTTTTCACATCTCAAACTTGAAAAAAGTTAATAATTATAGTTACCGAATGTGATTTTTCATAACAAGAGTTTCAAAACATGTTATTAGTAATAGTTTCATATAAAATACTCATAATATTGTGTCTTTTCAAAATTATTAAAGAACATATAATAAGATATATTTATTAACAAAGTAAATAACTTTGTCCCTTAAATATGTGGTCAAGAATCGATTTTTGATAGATATATAGAAAAAATATTTATTGGAAGAGACTAACTCTTTAAATAGATCTTAATACTTTTAAAAGATTAATTTTTAATTTTTAATTTTTAATTAAGAGATATCTTAATTTATTAAAAAAATAATAATTAAAAATATATTTACATGAAAACTAAATTAAATATATTTTTTAAGACTCAAAATTACAAATGTCATTTCGCATACCAACAAGGTTTGTTTTCTCAAACTTTGCATATCGACAAGTTTAAGTAGTGACGTGCCTAAATCCGTGTACTTTAGACTAAGACTAGAAACATGTTGAAAGTTGAAACCTCTTGAACAATATCAATAAAAATGAGGCAAACAAGAAAAAGAATCAATAGTGATAAAAAGAGGAAAAATTTACTAGCGCAAAAAAACTGTCAAATTTTTATATAATGTTGGTAGGCTTGACACATTATCAAAAGTTAATAATTAGTTTTTAATTCTCAAAAATGTCTTAATACATATTAAAAAATTATGTTATATACATTACAAAATTTAAAAGGTGCAAAATGTCAAGGGGCAAGGCAAGGCTCAAGCTATTAAGAATCACTGTGAAGCTATTCCACGTCAGTGGTAAAAAATTCTTACTTATTTTATATGACTTGTGGAATGGAAACCATATTAAATGAATTTAACTGAGAAATCTAATACAAGTAGATGTTATAAGAAGTAAAATTCTAGCGATTAAACGTAGTTAGACAATTACTTTCATAATGAGTATGATATCGTCTCACATTTTAGAAGTATCCTCATTTAGTAAATATTGGAAAAAAAAAACTGTGAAAATATTAGGAAGTTTATTATTCTTGAAATTTGAAGCAAATGGGTGGAAATATGTGAGAGATACCGGGAGTTAGAAGTGTTTTGTATTGTTTTCAAGGGATTATAAATTTGTTAGTGTTGAGGTAATTTCACTTTGGAGAGCACTAAGATTCCTTGCATCACCAAAAATTAGCACACCGGAAGAAGTTGCCAAACAATATTTTTTCAGCTTTGGCACTATTTATTCATTTAAAATACATGATTTAGTACATGATCTTGTTTTATTTATGGCAAAAGATGAGTGTCTACATATAAATTTTCACATTCAAAATATTCCTGGCAATATTCGACATCTATCATTTGCTGAAAATAATTTGCTTGACAATTTATTCACCACTAAATCAGTAGCTATGAGAATCATACTATTTCCAAATGGTGGGGCAGGAGCCAACGATGAAGGTTCCCTAAATACTTGTGTGTCAAACACCAATTACTTGCAATTTTAGGATTTAAGTGATTTAACATGCGAGACTTTGCCTCATTTCATAGATAAGTTGAAACATTTGAGATATTTTAATATTATGAATAGTCCCAATATTAAGAGAGTCCTCTATTCTATTTGCAAGGTCCAACATTTGCAAGTGTTGAAACTCTATGGATGCACAAAGCTAGAAGTATTACCTAAAGGATTAAGAAAATTGATCGGTCTCCCACAATTAGGATTAATCAAAAAGCAATCTATTTTTCCCAACAACGAGATTGTCAACTTGAGCTCACTTGCACTTTTGTCTATTCAATCAAGCCAAAATCTATAGTCTATCTTTGGAGGGGTGAAACTCCCTGCTCTTAAAACATCGGGTGTTGGTTACTGTCCATGTCTAAAGTCTTTGCCACTGGACATGAACAATTTTCCTGAATTAGAAAGTTTGGCTGTCAAATGCTGTGATAATTTGGACTTGGAATTGTGGAACGACCACCATGAAGAGCAAAGCCCCAATTTGATGCTAAAACTTATTGAATTTTGGGATTTATAATAGCTGGTTGCCTTGCCTCAATGACTTCAAGAAATTGCCAACTCTTTACGGTGCTTGTCTATTTTCAATTGTGACAATCAAGAAATGTTTTTGGGGTGGTTGTCAACTCTGACTAATCTGAAAACACTTGTTATAGAAGATTATCCAAAGCTTTTATCTCTCCCAAATAGCATCCATCACCTCACCACACTTGAAATTTTGATAATTAAAGGTTGTCCTGAATTATGTAGAAAATGTCAGCCACATGTTGGAGAGTTATGGCCCAACATATTCCATATCAAACATGTTTTCACAGGAGAACCAGAAGAACTAGAGGAACAGTAAGAAGAATTACAGGAAGAGCAAGACAAAGAGGAATGCTTCAATGAATTAGACAAGCGTTGACGCCCTTGTTTTATTTATTTATTCTTTTCGAGGGGGCGTTATTTTTATTTTGATAAATAGAATCTAATTTGATAAATTCAGGGGTGTTTTCTTGTTCTTGATGGTTGTCTTAATAATATGTTTAGAACTCATGTGTTCACATCAAATTTTACCTGGATCATTTGTTTGGTGTAGGCCTCTCTGATTATATCTCTTTTATCTTCCACTTTTTCTTTCGTAAAAATAAATGAGTTTCTAGGAAAGGCATTTATATTTAGAATTTCCATGATAGTTGTGTAATACTGCAATATTTGTTTACTTTTGAAATTTTAACCACACGGGTGTTTTTTCTTTCATTTATACTGATATATGCACAACTTCACCTTTTTTCATTTATATTGATATTCAAATGGTATCTTATCGTATATTTAATAAACTAGACTTGGAATAGCACTAGGTTTTTACACCCTTTTTTAAAAATGAGTTTGAACTACAATTCTTTAGGTTTAAATACTTCTAGGCCTTATAATTTTAAAATATGATTCTCTCACACACGTTCCTACTCCTCACTTTAAAAGATAAAGTATGGAGTTATAACAATTGATTAAAAACCTTGGTATTGAGATTTTAATAAGATATATATAACAAACTTAGTTAAATTACTCCTTCCGTTTTTTTTCATAGTCGTTTAAGGTTTTGCACGGGACTTAAGGAAATCATTGATATTTTAGTTTTTAAAAATATTTATTACTTACTTTCCTATTTTACCTTTTTTTTTGCATTTTTGAGACTGTTGAACTGCAATCTACTTCATTAATTATTTATGCATTAATTACACGTGAATTATAACCTACTGTATTTAATTATACCTGTCCATGAATTAATGGTTATATTGTTTTTTTATAGTATTTTGTTGGGAACATATTGCTCTTATAAATGCACATTAACTTTATATGGGTAGTTAGAGAAAAAATAGGTAGACATTAAAAATAAATACACACATTGTGCAGTAAACATGTATTAATTATCAAGGGTAAAAATGGAGAAAAAAAATTAATAAGTCTTAAATAATAGCATAGTGGTGAGACATAATTACTGATTAATTTTGTTGCAGACAAGTTTGTAACTTAAGAAGGTAGTGGTGAAGACTGGAATTAGACTCCTTGATCCTTGTCCAATTGCAGTCATCAAGGTTACTACTTCCTTCATTTTTTTTCATAGTCGTTTTGTCAGAGTTTGTTATTTTTTTGGTAACTAATTAAGAATATCTTCCCCTAACAAATAATGAAGAATTCCTAAAAGTTTAAGAGGCATAAAAATATAATAATTGATAGTAATATATCTAAATTAAAATTAATTATTATTTTATAAAATTAACAAAATATTAGCAACATTATTAAAATATTATAAAAATACTACTTTGTTAATATTTGAAAAATATTATCTAATTATATAAAAATATTATTAAAAGTCTTTAATAACATCAACTATATACAATATTTTATAATATGTTGCTAAAACATATTAGTAATATTTATATATAATTAAATAATATTTTTTAAATATTATTAAAAGCTGTATTATTAATGAACACACCAATACTTCCTTTATTATTAAATACGTTAAATAAATGCACATGGCTGTTGGTTGCATGACATGGTTTTACTCTTTGTATGCATTAGGGCATGGGTTCGTTTAAAATTATAAATTTCAATCTTCTTTTAATTTCTCATTTATATTTTCTCTAATTAATAGAGTCCCATCATTTAAAAAATCTCACAAATATATGAAAAAACAATTTCACACTCAAAATTAGTTTTAAAATATATTTTTTAATCTTTTTCTAAGGACACCTGTTTGGTCAACAATAATATTGCAGTGCCTGCAATATATAGTTTGCTAAGATTTAAAAAAATATTAAATCATCAACAATTCTGTAATTTATGGTCAGAATCGACTATATTTAATAATTTATTTTATTTGTTGGTGCAGGCGGAAAAATAGAAAAAACAATCTAAAATTCCATTTTATTAATTGATGTAAAAAGGAAAACAGAGAACTTGAAGTTTTTAAGTAATCAAATCTACCATTTTTACAACCCCAATATTAATTTATTATATTACAATTTTTTTTTTACTTTTTAATACCTTTACTATTAGGTCCACTTTAATCACGTATAGTTTTATATTAGGAAACTTTAAACTATAGTTTGGGTAAAAATTTTAATAATCATATTTTTCGCTTATTTTTTTAAACACTTCTAACAACGTGAAAAGAAAATTAAAAAAAAAAAAAATAAGTCTTAAATAATAGCATAGTGGTGAGACATAATTACTGATTAATTTTGTTGCAGACAAGTTTGTAACTTAAGAAGGTAGTGGTGAAGACTGGAATTAGACTCCTTGATCCTTGTCCAATTGCAGTCATCAAGGTTACTACTTCCTTCATTTTTTTTCATAGTCGTTTTGTCAGAGTTTGTTATTTTTTTTCATTGTCATATTACTAAAATCAATGAGTTATTAATTTTTTTCTTCCATTTTTATTCTTGATAATTAATACATGTTTCCTGAACAATGTGTGTATTTATTTTTAATGTCTACCTAATTTTTCTCCAACTACTCATATAAAGTTAATGTGCATTTATAAGAGCAATATGTTCCTAACAAAATACTATAAAAAAATAAAAAAAAGGGACAACTATTTAATAGAGTAGTTCAACAGTCTAAAAAATGCAAAAAAAAATAAAGGGTAAAATTGGAAAGTAAGTAATAAATATTTTTGAAAACTGAAATATCAATGATTTTCTTAAATCCCGTGCAAAACCTTAAACGCCTATTAAAAAAAAACGGAGGGAGTATCACATATTTGTAGTTAGATACTATTATATTTGGAAGTACAATTTCAATAAACTTATCTCCCAAACAGTGCTTTGTGAGAGAGACTGAACTTTTATGTTGAATACTCTATTCATCAATGATAAGGGTTTAGGGTTTAATCCACTTGTTTGGGGGTTTGAAATGGATGGAAAGGGAGAACTCAAGGATAATCTATTTCCGCTTTATTCTACTCAAATACACAATTTTTGCTCTCCCAAATTGTGGTGGAATTGGAGGAAATAAACTTTGTTCATAAGTAAGCGTTACATTACATTCTCGACCTTTTAACTTCCATCCAAAATAATTTAGTTCCATACCTTTCCCTCATTAATCTTCCAAACAAGAAAGGTAGCTTTGTTTGATTCCTTCCACTCCCTTTGCATTCCCCTCCACACTTATCCCATTCCACTCCAATACTCCATTAATGAAAAAAAAATCCAAATACATTGTTTCTCCCATTTTGTCCACAATGTTGTAGTGTACATCAAGCATTAGTGACTTCTCAGCTAAGTTTGCTTTATAAAGATAGACTCCTGTTGGGCTAGGCCACTGCAGTTTTTTTTGGAGTTATGAGTCCAATTACTTAGGTTGTATTTGAGAATCAATTGAGTTGAAATCAATTAGGGTTAAAGAAAAAAAACTACACTCACAAACTTTTCCCTTTTATACATTGGAACACGTGTTTTCTCGTTAAACATGATTTTAAACTGATATTTAAACATACACTTAGTGAAGTACATTTTGACATATATACATACAATAATGTATTACAAAATCCATCACAAAACAATACATTCATGCTCATTAAAGTATTCCCTTTGACAGAGGCTTCCTATATTTGGTTTCATCCACATTGGTTTTTGCCAAAGAGAAAATAATCAGGATTGTCCAAGAAGTGAAGGCTTGTAGAAAACATGGCTTTGTGCAATCTCAATTCGTTCGCGAGGATCATTCAGATTTTCATCCCTCAAAGCTTTTAGAATAGCTTGTGATGACTGTTCCCTGAGAAATCCAGCATACACCAGAAGCATGGCAAACTTATTTAGTGCATTGGCAAAATGTATAGATATTTGCAAATGTAGTACTTGGAGTTGAAAGTGTTCAAAGATAACAATGTTAAAGGTAAAGAAAACAGACAACCAAGGTTCCAGTCAATTATTGATTACCTGGATATCAAAATTTTGTATAGTGTCTTCAAGATAGGGCAGAGCTCTACAGGAGCAACAGGCTTGTTTGCTTCAGGATGCAATACATTCAGGCTAGATTGGCTCAGAAGTTCAAAGAATGCCTCCACTGCTGACACACCCTACAAATAAATGGCAGGGATAGCATTTTTGTTCAGTTATAGGAATTTTGATTGAAAGCGAAAAACTGACTCTAAAGAGCAATACACAAGGATGATTTCTCTTTTTTGTGTGAATGATATTAATTCCACATTTGGTGTGTCAAGGGCACCTATTAGGGCCAAATAATAAGAGAAGTGAAAAATGTGGCTTATGCCAAGTAAATTTCTAACATCATATACATCAACTCATCTAAGATGCCTTGTACTACATAGAGCTTTGAAAAATCAGCATATCAAAATTGCCAGAAAGGATGGTACATACCATCATCGTATTTTCTCCATACAAGCTAAAAACAAACAAAACTCCTAAGTCCTACCAAACTATGAATACAAGTACAGATGATGAAGTTCAGCAGCCCCGGCCAATGATGAGAGTTATTTTTATAAAGTTATTAATGATGAGATATTGTCTGTTTTGAGTCTAAGTCCTCACGGTTTTGTTTTTGGTCATCACCCAAAAAGTCTCTCAATCATTAAAGTATGTTTGTGTTATATAAGTTGTTATTTCTTGTTTTATTTTATCGATGTGAGACTTGTTTGTATCTCAACAGAAACATCACTATTTTTTTAATGTATGCACATATTTTAAAGATGCAATTATCACACCTCAAGAACATAGCACGAGTTTGAAAGAAATTGGATCAGGAAAAATTACAAAATATACCTGAATCATTCCTTTGCCACTAATGCTGTCTCCCATATCTGGTCTTAATTGACCCTTAGCTAACATCTGGCCATACCAAGCGTTACGTCCTTTTAACAAGGTCACATAAGTGTCGGCCAGTAATGGCCCTGCAAGTTTCTCAGGTTCTTCAGCCAATAAGTGAGTGATGAATATCATTTCTGACGTGCAGTGTGCAAAGTATACAGATTTGCTTGTAGCACTTTCGTTGGTAAGAGCTGCTACCATTCCTGACAGCATTAACATGAAAAACAGGTTATATAGATTTTAAATCAGGAAGAAAGTGTAAGACATGGGAATGCCTCTTATAAAAATAGAGGTATGTCGAACCCCTTTCTTTTCCAAGTTAATGTGAAAGACACATATATGCCTTATTGCCTTAAGTCAACTTATAATAATCTGCATCATGAATCATGATGAAATCTTTATCTATGTACCTTGATATGTACCATAAGTAAAAGGAAAAATTGTACGGTTATTGATTACCGATGCTTCCTTTTGCATTTTCTTTAAGTTGTGAAATCTTCACGAGATAAAATGCTAAAGTATGGTTTCCTAGTATGTGTAAATAGGGAGTGAACCAAAGAGTGAAATAGACAACATTACACAAGTCAAAACATGTTACTTCAAGTTTGACATTAAATTTAAAGCGATAACAACTGATTAGAAGCTTACCAGCTCCAATTGCATAGACATTTTTCAGGCCACCCATGACCTCATGGGTGATGAGGTCACTGTTATCCCAGACAATGAAGTGTGGTTGTCTTAAAAATTTCGCCAGAGGTTTCCTCCATTTCTCAGCTCCACATATTCTTGCATTGGCATACTCCTTGTTGTAGATTTCTGAGGCAATATTTGGACCCCCAAGATAGAGTATGTTCTCCATAGGCACTCCAGCTGTCATGTTTACATTGCAAAGAGTAGAGAATGAGGGTAGGACTAAGATATTATTCCACAGTAAGAAGGCTATGACCTATGATAAGTTGATAAAATCAGATGATATAAATCAAAAAGTAATCAATAGAAAACAAAGATGTTAAGTACTAACTTTAGCATGAAAACCCGTTGCTTGGCATCAAATTCTAGGTTAACAAATAGCTGTAACTTAGCCAGACAATTATCACAATTGATTTGTAATATGCTTCGGTATGAAAATGAACAAGATAGATTTTTGTAAATTGAATGTGTTAAGAGAGGATATGAAGGTTGAGTCAAAGAGTACTAACATTTCAAACGTATTCAGTAAACATGGAAGATTGACTCTAGCAATACTGAGTACTGACTAAAAGATTGAAGTTCATCATGAAGTATGCATTAGAACACATCTGGTAAATGTTTTCATATCAGAAGTACAAAAAAATAAGACATCAATGAGATCCTGACACATAAAGGTGTTGTTCAATGTTGTTTACAATTTTCCTTTCACTCATGTTCAGCTTGATAAGAAAGACTCGTCCCATCCTTTACATTACTCCCAAACATACTAACTACAGAAATTGCCAGTACTGGCAGTACATCATTGACTTTATTTACTAAAACATAGACGATTCTTAGCATCATTAATCAATTATAACAATGATTGATTATACCTATAATAGATTATTAAAATAAATTATTTTTCACAACTAATCTAAACGCCCACTAAATTAAAGGGGGCAACAAGGAGACGAGAAGAAAATGGAATCATCACACTTGTTTGCTTATTCTATCCTAGCAAAGGCATGAGAAAGATATTTACTTCTGTTCATTAGAAAGAAGTCCCAAATGCATGGAGAAAAGGTAACATGTAAATAGAAATGAAAAAATTAAAACTTACTTGCTTGGTTAATCATCTTTGTGGGAGTTATAATATGAGGAACAGGCTCCAATGCAGCCTCTATACCCTTTGACAAAGAGATAATTATAGGCACTGTGATCCTCTCCTTCCAATACTTACTTATCTCTTCAAAGATCTCACGTGTTTCAGTTGAAGGCAAACCATTAACCACAATATCAGCATCCCAAACAGCTTCTTGCAGGTTTGTGACCACCTTCAGTGGACAAAGTGGGGTATCAATCATGTTCAAGCAAAAGCCATCCTTGAGAATCTCATCAGCATAGAGGGTTCTATCACCAAGCCTTGCCTCAACATACTTCAGATAAGCACAACGCCTGATCAACCTCCTCAACACATCCTCCCTTGAGTTGATGACTTCAAAGAGATGTTCTGCAGTGCCTCTATCCACTGCCCTTCCTGCTCTTCTCCATATCCTTATTTGTATCTTGTCCCTGAATTGGCCATAGGAGTCTTGTAACAAGGCTGCAAAAACACTGCCCCAAGCACCAGCTCCTACACTCACAATTCTCAAAGGGTCACCATCAGCCTTCCCAATAAGCCTCCTCAAACCATCAAGCTTCTCTTCCACCCCATTACAATTCTGGACACCAACACTTCCATTTGAGTATGCATTATGAACCACTCCCATGATGCTTCCCACAACGCTCTAAATGGTTAACAAAGTCTGGAAAGTACCAACAAGACCTGAATAATGAACTAACTTTAATAGACGTGTCTTTAAACTAAACTGAGACTCCTATATAACCTGTTTCAATCTTATGCTTCTTCTCTTACTTTCCCACTACCCAACTAACAAATATTTTTTCCTTTTACCAGAAGAACAAGATTGCCTATTTGACTTTACAAAATATGCAGCAATGGGAAATCAAATCTTTTTGGTGGAAGTTGCTTGACCAAAGCTCAACATTAATTTTGGTCTGTGCACAATTTCTGTGCAAAAATATAGCCTGTCCCTCTCTAAATTAATTGAAACATGCAATGCATGAACCGTCATATATATATATATAGAAACAAATGTACACATAAAAGGACCCTTTTATTTTTCACGTGCCGATACAAAGAAAAGATAAGGGGGACGGATAGGGAAAAAATCAAAACCAAAACCGAAGCCAAACACAAACAGAACTTTGTTTTCTCCGTCTCTTGTTAGTTGATCTACCCAACTACAAGACGCGACTAGTGCCAATAAAAAAACCAAACTTTGGAGCTGTGGATAACAACAAATTATGGTCCTTCAATGTTGGGGTTTATTTACTTTAACTCATCCAACTCATGATCCCACTCTATGCATAATTCATAGCTTTCTAATGGTAACAGCCTACATTATTGAAGGGAAAGTTAAATACTTAAACCAAACAATAAATAAAAAATAAAATTTATAACTAAAAGTATTAGTGTCATAATATATATATGGAGGGTAATAACGACATCAGTATAACTTTTACTAAATTTTATACAGCTCAATAATTTTATATTAAATGTGAATTTTGTAAATATATGGTTTTAAATTTGATATGAAAATATTAGGATATAATTAGATAAGATTTTAAATTAGTATTTTATTAATGATTGAAAATTTAAGATTATAATTTTAAAATATATAAATTATTATTTAAACTTTTAAATTTATAATAATTAATTTAAATTGTATCATAATATTATTTTTAAATAGAAATAAGTAAATTGTTAATTATACAAGTAAGTATATTTATAAATAAATATTAATTAAATATAATATAATTATTATTATTATTGGTAATATAATTATTATATATATTTTTATATTTTTATAGTGGTCTGAACATACCAAAATGAGAGGGATCCAAAAATAGTATAAGTATGAGATTGTACTTAAATGAATTAATTTGTACTACTTATACTGATAACATGCATTAGCTCTTCTGTAGCCTATCTCATAAGAACTCCACAATTAAGCGTGCTTAACCTGGAGTAGTATAGGGATGGGTGACCTTCTAGGAAGTTTCCTAGAAAATGTGCAATAAGGACAAAACATGTTGAAAAGTGAAGTGTAATGAAATAGCATCCTTGAGAGGCCAAATATGAGGGTTATTACTTTAATAAATTTATTAAAATTAAATAAAAATTTCCTGAAACGAGTTATCTACGAAAAATTCCGTAGATAACATTATCTACGAAAAAATCCGTAGATAACATTATCTACGGAAAATTCCGTAGATAACGTTATCTACGACCATTTTATCTACGGATTTTTTTCCGTAGATAATCCGTAGATAATTGACATTTATCTACGGATTTTTATGTTTATCTACGGATTTTTCCGTAGATAATCTTGATTTTTCTTGTAGTGAATCGTTATATTAAAAGTTCTTTATCCTTAGATTATATATACAAAATTTTATATTAATCCAAGATGATTTGAGTGGTGTAATATTTAGTAAAAGTTACATTGGTGTTATTATAACCCTTCTCATATTATTGAGATATTCCTTGATCCTTTGATAGTTTCTAATATCCCCTGATGTTCTCTATGAATATTCTCTACTGTTATTGTGATTGATTTGATTACCACATGCAATTATAATATTTGTTATAATAGTAACAATATGACAGATTCTATTTAGGAATAGCTGTTGTGTAATTAGCATAAATTAAGGTAGCTATTTATGTAATCTTGGTGTATATATATTTGACCTGGGTTAGTAATAAAGGAAAAGAATTACATCGCAAATTCTTCTTTACACACACACACACACACACACACACACACATATATATATATATATATATGAATTAATGAAATGAAATATTAAATAATTTTCAATTTTTTTAAAATTTAGTAGACTTAATTTATACATTAAAAACTTTAAATTCAATAGTTAGATTGTTGAAATTTAATGTAGAACATGAGTTATTGAATGAGGTAAGTCTAGATATATTTTACTTATGAAATAAACGAATTGTTTCTTATATATATATATATTCACTCAATAACTTATGATGTATGTTAAATTTTAATAATTTAACTATTAAATTAAAATTTTTTAATGTATAAATCAAATTTATAATTAGATCATTGAAATTTAACATACACAATGAGTTATTGAGTGAAATAGCTTAAATAAGAGTTACTCTTCAAATCATTTGAACCCTCTTTATTTATATATATATATATATATATATATTATTATTCAAGATATGATTGGACATTAATTATATAAACATCATTCTTGTAAAAATTTGAATCATATTATATTATGTTGGGTAAACTGATCTTTATTATACCAATAAGTCATTGGTATAGGAACAATTGGTTAGAAGAAAAGAATCACTAAATGTTATTGATCAAATTTTATGATAAAAGTTAATTATAAATAAAATTAGTAAATATTTTATATTAATAATATGATTATAAAAAATAAAAACTTATCCTTTGACAGGGGTGGCATCAATATGAATGTATTGGCATTAAAAGTATTTGGGTATGGGCAACTTCCCCAACGGTGATTAATATTGTATGACTTTGGCCACATTTTCATGTCACGTTCTCTCCTCTCAATATGGGCAGATATTATTATTCATACGTATATACTTTGTCCTTTTTTGTGGTTGACGGACCCATATTTAATGTCTTGCCTCTTATGTTTCTGCCAACCTGGGCTTGTCTTATTTGAAATATATTAATGCTAGTCTGTTTGATATATGCAATTAGATTCAGGTACCATTCACAAAGTTATTATTGTACTCGTTTGATGACTTTTATTTTTCGCTTTTGGAAGACTATGCTAGTTGGATTTAGGTGATCCAATTAATTGATTTTACAATAATTTAGCTGTAATTAATGTTCACGTGATTCATGAGTAATATTTCTCTTGATGTATTAAATCTCAAATGGAAGATTAAAGTTCATTTATTGTGCATAAATTTAATATAAATATATTTTAAAAAAAACAAATAAAACAATAAATCACATATAATCTCAAATGTGTGGTTGAGCGGTAGGAGTTGATCCACGTTTAAGTAAGGTTAGGGATTTGAATCTTGCCTTTTGTATGCAGCCGCGTTAAATCTTGAGACCAACTATCACATTCTTTGAGGTGCCCCCAACCTAACGAGGAGATACTTCAGAGACGAACAAAAAAAATCACATATAAAAAAATTGATTTAAAGCACATGAGATACTTAATTTTTCCATGTATTGTACCAAATTAATTATGAGAAACCTAATTATATTTTAGCTAATAACTTGGTAAAGACTAAGCTATAATTACTTAGTGATTTTTATTCTAAAATAAAATAATTAGTGTATGGTAATTTTAACTTATAATCATTTATAATGTACATAATTGATTATAAGTTTTATCGTAAACTTAGTAGTTTTAGCTAACTTAGACTATACTAACTTGATAATTTTTAACTCATTGACTTTTAATTTGTAATTTTTAATTCTTGTTCTTATCGATATCAACTCGTCTCCTGTTGTAAGATATTCCCTTCCGATATCCGATCTTCTTCACGATGTCCGATCTTCTCCTTGAATTCCTCGGATGTACCTGTAAAAAGGACTCCAACGATCAAGTTAGTTGTCTGTCCAAAATGTCATGTATCGTTTATATTATTATCTGTGGTAGTTTTTTGAGTAACCGTGTAACGGTCGTGTAGTTATTTTTCGAAGGTTATTTACGGTTGAGTCTTGTCTGATGTCATTGATATGCTGAGGTGTTCACCCGACCTCCCTTGTCCGATATTACACCTCAACATCTCGTGTATTTACTTTAGTTTGACTTCGGTCAAATCATCTAATGAACTCGGCTGAGCTCGGCCTTAAGTTAGGTTGGTACAATTCTTATTTTGTAATATTAGGTATAAGGACCTTAGGTTTTTTTTAATTATTTTTATATATGTTTTTTTATACATTAAGACTTATTATTAGTCTAATGTTAAGCCTCTATATTGGTGCCTATGGTACCTATCATGGTGCCTATGGGGAAGGCTAATTTGTTGTAGTTTATTAAAGTTTTGTTTGTTTAAAAAAAATTGAAAGAAAAGCAAGTAGAAGGAAAGAAAGCGAAAGAAAAGAGAAAGACTAGAAAAATAAGATAATTTTGTAGTTTGGTAAAAGAGAAAATAGAAAGAAATAAAAAGTAACTTTATTTTCCCTTCTTTGATTGGATAAAAATGAATCAAAAGAAAAAAAAGAGTATATTTACTGAAAGACATAAATACCCTAATAAAATTATTTTCAAACAAAGTTAAAATAATAAATTAAAAACTATTATTTCCAAAATATCATATAAGCAAACTTAGCAATAGAAAATTAAAAAAAAATAAATTATTTGTAAAAAAAATTAAATTAACTAAAAATTATCTAATTTAACACTTATAAAAAGATATTATACAATTTAATTGCTGAAATTTATAAAATAAAAGATTTTAAAAAATATGGCAAGAACTTGAACACGTGACTTAAAAAATGTTTAACTCCAATTGCCATATAATTATTTTTATACTATTTTATTGCATTTATTATAATTAGAAGGTAAAAGAAAAAAAGAAGAGCAACTAAAAGAAAAAGACATATAGATGATGATGGTACTTGGCAACTGGGGGCAAAAAGGTAAATGAGACGCAAAGTGATGGGTAATGGCAAAGGACATTTAAGTCTTTTTATAATCATAAATTAGGCCTTCGCACACTTTTCCTTCATAATCGGACGGAAAGTATTTTTCAGATGGGGCCCACATAAACTTAAGACTAAAAATCTATTTTAGTCCCTTATAATAATTATTTGTTTTAATTTAGTCCTATTTTTATTTTTGTTCTCAATTTGGTCCTTAATAAATTAATTAGTTGCAATGTCAGACTTTCATTCAAATTATTTAGACGGAGTTAACTGTTGGTCACGTGAAAGTTACGTAGATGCTACCTGGAAGCTACATACATGTCACCTAGATGTCAAATTTTGTCATGCATCTAGAACCAGAATGACTCGTTCTGAAACTGGAACACCCTGTTCTGGTTGCACTCATGGTGTGTAAATTTTGCATCTGGAATGACCCGTTCCAGATGCATTATTTAACACCAACGCATGCAGTAGAACGGGCTGTTCTGAGACCAGAATAGGCCGTTCTGAGACCAGAATAGGCTGTTCTGAGA